TCGGTCCCCTCAGTTCAGATAGATACTCAAAGTCCCGAAATTCCATAGGTGGTTATCTATATAATAATTTCCCTAATTGTATTAATATTTTAAACCGTTTGATTTTTTGTATGTTTTTTAATTGGTTGATGATTGATTCTACCAACTAATTTGTCGATTGTTTGATTGTATTAACTTGATTCTTTAGATATCGAAAATTAATTAAAGAACATTATGTTAATTTAAGCGTACAGAAACGTTGCTGTTGTTTTAGCAAAGATCTTATTTTCACTTTACCGAGTGCCTAGTAGGTAATTTGCAGATTACCTAGATAATCTGCACATTATTTAGGTAATTTGAGAAATAGAACAATTTTAGCAACTTTAACGGATCACGCTAGTTAATCTGCAGATTAACGAGTTTCCGAGCTTTAGTGGTAACATATATAAACAATCCATGCTCAGTTTGCAATAAACTGCTGTGTGGATGGTTGTTCGCTCAACCTTAATGCTAATGTCCAGGAAGTGAGCTTCTGTAGGGTGTGTCTGGTCAACTAGTGCAGAAATGTTTGGCTTGTCTTTCCATAGGATTAGAATATCATCTATGTACTGCTTATACAATAGGATGTTGGGGAGATGTTTTGGGATAAATTCCGATTCCAGTTTTCTCACTACTATTTCACACAGGTCTCCAGCGATGGGGCTGCCTATAGGGACCCCTCTTTGCTGCTCATATGTTATTCCTTTGAACCAGAAGAAGGAGTTGTGACAAAGCAAATGTGCCATTTCAAGGATGTGTTGGTGCAATACACAGATGCTTTTACATGCTACTTCTAGCAATGTTAAATAAATGGAAAAAAAAAACATTTTCAGCTGCTTTACCGGTTCTCCTCAGGTTACAAGAACTATTTTACACACTTTAAAATGAACTGTACTGTACTTATTAAAAGAATTTTTTAAACTTTTTACAAAAATTTGAATGAACATAAACATTCAAAATATGGAGCATTCTACACTTCAATGATGTTAAATAAAATAAAAATTTCAAAACATTTTCAAAAAATTAAAAAAGATTCAAAATGAAAGATTGTAACATACTTTTAAGAGAGAAAGTTCTTGTAGCTTGAGAATAGTCACTAAAATGGTCAAATTGTTTGTTTTTTTCCATTTACCTGACATTTATTAAACATCCGATTAATTAATTAAATTAATTAAAACAATAAATTAAAAATGTCTGCATGTTTGTTGAACTGTTCCAGCTTTTAGGATTTACCTGGCACTACTTCATAACATATTACTTATGATTGTTGTTGTTATTAATATTAGTAGTAATATTGATATATTATTTATTAATGTTAATAATTTTATTTTATTATAATATCCATAGTCAGATTGTTGATCAGATGGTACTTCTTCATATGATTTGGCATTGCCATTTGTTTTATTTAGAAGTGGAAGTGTAGTATATAGATGTCTAAGAAAATGCCTAAGAGAAAGCAAAGAAAAAAATCTTTTTCAAGGCTATAGAATTTTTAGTACAATCTAGGATACAAATGGCAGAAGTGTCTGTACCATCTTGGTCTGGTATGTTGTACTGGTTGTGTCAGTCTGACAAGTGAGTAGTGTTCAATGAGAACATAATATATTAACTAGGAGAAGGGGGTGGGATAAATATATTTCATCTTTTTCTCCATGTTACAGTAACAAGGGGACTCTGACTGACCTGACTAGGACAAAAGAAAAAGGTCTAGACCAGAGATGTCCAGCCTGTGTGCCGCACTGCGGCCCACATAATATTCTTATGCAGCCCACTGTACCCTAAATTTTTTAAGGTATATTTTCATTTATTTTGGTAAAGTATGTTGTAAAACTTATTCTTTTTTCACTGGATACATTTCGATGTGATAATGACGTAATTGGTGTTTTATCTAGAGAACTGTTATGCATTTGTAGTAGTACATACTGTTGTAAACAATTCTTTTCATGCATTAAAAACAAAACTGCTGAAAGAAATAGGTTGAGTCATTCCCATTTAACTAACATTCAATAAACACCAACTGTACCAGAAAACTGGAACTGTACATGTAAATAAGAAATTAGACCTCAATGTAAAATTTCCAGCAAAGAAATTCAATATTGTAATGTTTTGGCCACTATTTCATCAGCCCTCATCAGGAACTGTAGAATGGAAAAATCGTTCTATAAATAGAATGCCTTTGTGTTCTAATGTTAAAAATTTCAAATACAGTAGACCCCCTATAATATGGTAGATACATTCCGTTTTATTTAAATTCCATGTTTTATGATCACTTAAATACATGAGCCAATCACAGCCCGGCACGTGTGCAGTTTACGGACTATGGCTGTTTGAAAGGTTTTTTTCCATAAAATTAATCGATTCTAGACTAATTTGACTCAACATTTCCAAAATACGTATAATTTTTTGGAAATAATCCATATAAACTATGCTATAAACAAAAAGTTGTAGGATTACTTACTTAGTGTGCACTGTTTGATGATGCCATTGCTTAAGCTTGTTTTCGGCGCAGAGTGGCGCATCTAACAGTGGGCACGTGTTTTCTGATAAGTTATTTTTGTGTGAAAAATTTGCTGAACTTTGGAGACATCATTAATATAAATATAATTTTTATGGCTGTTAAATAATAAATGGTTTTTAGTAGATCCGCTGCTTGTTTAAACTCAACGGTTTGTGCAATATCCGCTATTGGTCTAAATTCAACCAATCCTGTTGCGACACGAGTCGGCGATGACGTTTTACCATATTATACGAGTCTCTTTTAGCTTGTTTATACAAATATGATTGCAATTTTTTCACCGTATTATATAAATTTCTAATCAGAATCATCATTTCAAACATTTGGGTGGTTTACTTTGGGTTTACTTTGGGTTGTGTGTAAATTTCAATATTAAGACATTATTAGTCTCAAAAAGTGTTTAATCTTTATTAAAGGTGAACTTTTTAAAGCTATCCATCTATATAACCGTTAGCTTTTATAAGCTAACAGTTATATCGTTAGCTTATATATATGCTGGAAGAGGAGATCGGACTGAAGGTCCGGGTAGCGTAATTGGCAACGCATCTGCACGGTAAGCAGGAGTTGCGGGGTTGAGTCTTGCTTCGGGCCGATTATTTTCTTCCAGTAATTCTAAATTATTATTTAAATTATTTAATTATTAAATTTATCAAGAGATGGTGCCTAATGCCTAACTCTAATGCCAAATTGTCTTATAAATTATTANTTTTTTTTTTTTTTTTTTATTATTATTATTACAGCTACAAGACGCCTCCTCGCGGATATCGTCGTCACAAAAGCTTGCAGAGCCCTCTAACGAGACGTTTCCTATCGAAGTCGGAGTACGCAGGGTAAGTTTGATTATTACAATTTATTAACATAAACGAAACTGTTAAAAAAATCAATAAAATCTATTTAAATTTAGCGAATTTTAGATATATTTTTCACGGTTATTTAAAAGCGACGTACTTTACTCCAACTTAAAATGTGCTTTTATATGTTAGAAAGCGATGAATTGTTAAGCCTTACCGAAGAATCTTTGAGGGCGCCACTCTCAGTGCGCGCCATTATGATAGGCTTAACGAGAAATTGATAAAAAATTAATAAAATGATTATTTAGTTATTTTAAACATTTATACCGTATATTAAATTTAATAAATTCGGTAATGCTTTTCGTATTACGGTATATCGTTTTTATTTCTTTGAAATTAATTAATATATCTAAGCATTGTTTGTGGTGGCGGCCGTTAATGGCGACTTTGAAAATACCTTTATGAAGTCTCATCAATTTCACTTCGAAAATCGACTTAAGAATTGACATTTAATCACCTTTCTACATAAAAAACTATGCTTGATTTATCTTTAAAATACAGTTAAACTATATAAACAAGCATTATTCAAGAAATTACACTAATTATTAATATTTTTTAACGTCTAGAATGATATTAACAATGATTACATTTTTGTTTTGAAATTTAATTTCTAATTGATAAAAGCTTTAAGAATACCTTTATCATTTAAATATATAGAAAATATGTAATTTGTTAACATTGTACACGAGATGATAATGATGCATCATTTGATTAAATATTATTGAATTACTTGACATTCTGAATGTGAAAAAGCATGTTTTTAATTAAACTTTTCAGTTATAATTACATATTGCCACATTGATTTGTTTTTTTTTTAAATAAACTTCATACGAACATTTCTTTATTGTGACATGTAGTTTTCTATGCAAAATCAGTTTTAGGTTGTTATAACTGGAATTAGAAAAGAGTTTTTTTTTAATAAAATTTGATATAAAGAAAACAATTTTTCATAAATATTCTGATTATAAACATCACTTTATGTTCAGAATGGGATAAAAAGCATGTTTTTAATTGAAAATTTTTCATTTTAATTACATATTGTCTTGTTGATTTGTATATTTTAAAATAAACTAATTGTAAGCATTTCTTAGACATAACAATACTATAATTTCATGAGGGATAAATATCTTTCGATGAAATAATAAGTTTGTTCCACTTTTTACAAATTATCTTTTTTTGCAGTCACTACATACTGCTATATTATATAGTATTACAGTGGAACCCGGTATACGACCTTAATCCGTTCCTGATGTTTGGACTTAAACCAAATTGGACATATACCAAACCAACCTTTCCCATAAGAAGTAATGTAAAAATGATTAATCCGTTCTCATGTAAAAAAAATGGCTGGCTTTAAACACCTCGCTTTCCTGGCTAGTTCCTGCTTGATTTTTCGTGAGATCAGCGTGTATCTTTTTAGCTTTCTCGCAAATAATTGCTTCCGATANGTAGGATTACTTACTTAGTGTGCACTGTTTGATGATGCCATTGCTTAAGCTTGTTTTCGGCGCAGAGTGGCGCATCTAACAGTGGGCACGTGTTTTCTGATAAGTTATTTTTGTGTGAAAAATTTGCTGAACTTTGGAGACATCATTAATATAAATATAATTTTTATGGCTGTTAAATAATAAATGGTTTTTAGTAGATCCGCTGCTTGTTTAAACTCAACGGTTTGTGCAATATCCGCTATTGGTCTAAATTCAACCAATCCTGTTGCGACACGAGTCGGCGATGACGTTTTACCATATTATACGAGTCTCTTTTAGCTTGTTTATACAAATATGATTGCAATTTTTTCACCGTATTATATAAATTTCTAATCAGAATCATCATTTCAAACATTTGGGTGGTTTACTTTGGGTTTACTTTGGGTTGTGTGTAAATTTCAATATTAAGACATTATTAGTCTCAAAAAGTGTTTAATCTTTATTAAAGGTGAACTTTTTAAAGCTATCCATCTATATAACCGTTAGCTTTTATAAGCTAACAGTTATATCGTTAGCTTATATATATGCTGGAAGAGGAGATCGGACTGAAGGTCCAGGTAGCGTAATTGGCAACGCATCTGCATGGTAAACAGGAGTTGCAGGTTCGAGTCCCGCTTTGGGCCGATTATTTTCTTCCAGTAATTCTAAATTATTATTTAAATTATTTAATTATTAAATTTATCAAGAGATGGTGCCTAATGCCTAACTCTAATGCCAAATTGTCTATTAAATTATTGGTATTATAGCCTTTTCTAGCCCGATAATATTCGGCTTTGGTAGATGGATAACTTTAATCATATAGGGTATTGTAAAAATGTTTGAGAACTTTTTAAAAACAAACAGTATAAGGAAACAAAAGGAAGTGTTAACATAATTTTGATATACCCTTTAATTGTAAGTCTTTTAAAAATAAACCTATAGGATTTTAAAAAATCATAGATTCTTTTTAACTTCAGTATTAATCTTTGACTTCTAGTTGAAGTTATAAAGCTGTTTAAAGAACTGCTGAAAAATAGATAAAGATTATATCAGACCAGCAGAAAAGATGCTTGGATCAAAAAACAACAAAGATTAAGATTATTAGATTATTTCGTACTTTTAATCCTTTTATTCTAGTAGCCTGGGACTCCCCCTAGTGGGCGTTCTAGCAGCAGCGGTGTCATTCCATGGTATAAATAATAAAATTGGTATAAATAATAAATTTCTATTACAAATAAAAATAATAATATACTGAATTTCTCATGGCATACCCTACTAAAACGCAGCCAAAAATGCAAAAAACTGCATATCAGTTTAAGCTATTAATGCCAAAAGAGTGTCTATTTAATGTGTTGTTTTTGAAATTTTTGCATGAAGTGTAAGTAAAAACAATACGTTTTACTTTTTTGCATTGTAATGAGTAAGATTTCTAATAAATAGTTTTTTAAATTGATTTTTGTTATTCGATTCAAATTTTTGCAATGATAAATATGTTATGGTTATATAATAGTTTAAAATTAATACTTATCTGAAAGGATTTTGAATGATAATGATATAAGATAACTAGCAATGGATGCATGTGTTAAAATCTGTTTTTTTTCAAACTTTACTAAATTTAATTAAATTATTCCAAATTTATCTAATCATTATAGTTACCTACTGCACAGCTTGCTATAATGCCAAACTATTGAATCATTAAAATTGCTTAAATTATTCAATAACAATCTGATAATTTTATGAAGTTATTACTATTTGATATTTAAATTTTGAAAGAACTAGAAAATCAGAACTTTTAGGTGTTTTTGTTAATATCTAGTTATTATTATTCTGTTATAAATTACATTTAATTTAATATTTTCTTATTGTAATTGCCATCTTAGTACAAAAATAGAATATAATAATGTTAAATAAAAATCAAGAATATTGAAAGTCAAAAGCCTTACCGAAGAATCTTTGAGGG